GTGTGATTGGTCTACTCTGCTCTGATTGGTCGGACGGCCCAGTCTGTTGTGATTGGTCTACTCTGCTCTGATTGGTCAGATGGCCCAGTCTGTTGTGATTGGTCTACTCTGCTCTGATTGGTCAGATGGCCCAGTGTGTTGTGATTGGTCTACTCTGCTGTGATTGGCCAGATGGCCCAGTGTGTTGTGATTGGTCTACTCTGCTCTGATTGGTCAGATGGCCCAGTGTTTTGTGATTGGTCTACTCTGCTCTGATTGGTCAGATGGCCCAGTGTGTTGTGATTGGTCTACTCTGCTGTGATTGGCCAGATGGCCCAGTCTGTTGTGATTGGTCTACTCTGCTCTGATTGGTCAGATGGCCCAGTGTTTTGTGATTGGTCTACTCTGCTCTGATTGGTCAGATGGCTCAGTCTGTTGTGATTGGTCTACTCTGCTGTGATTGGCCAGATGGCCCAGTCTGTTGTGATTGGTCTACTCTGCTGTGATTGGCCAGATGGCCCAGTGTGTTGTGATTGGTCTACTCTGCTGTGATTGGTCAGATGGCCCAGTGTGTTGTAATTGGTCTACTCTGCTCTGATTGGTCAGATGGCCCAGTCTGTTGTGATTGGCCAGATGGCCCAGTCTGTTGTGATTGGTCTACTCTGCTGTGATTGGCCAGATGCCCCAGTGTGTTGTGATTGGTCTACTCTGCTGTGATTGGTCAGATGGCTCAGTCTGTTGTGATTGGTCTACTCTGCTCTGATTGGTGAGATGGCCCAGTCTGTTGTGATTGGTCTACTCTGCTCTGATTGGTCAGATGGCCCAGTCTGTTGTGATTGGTCTACTCTGCTGTGATTGGCCAGATGGCTCAGTGTGTTGTGATTGGTCTACTCTGCTGTGATTGGCCAGATGCCCCAGTCTGTTGTGATTGGTCTACTCTGCTCTGATTGGTCAGATGGCCCAGTGTGTTGTGATTGGTCTACTCTGCTGTGATTTGCCAGATGGCTCAGTCTGTTGTGATTGGTCTACTCTGCTGTGATTGGCCAGATGGCTCAGTGTGTTGTGATTGGTCTACTCTGCTCTGATTGGTCAGATGGCCCAGTCTGTTGTGATTGGTCTACTCTGCTCTGATTGGTCAGATGGCCCAGTCTGTTGTGATTGGTCTACTCTGCTGTGATTGGCCAGATGGCTCAGTGAGTTGTGATTGGTCTACTCTGCTGTGATTGGCCATATGCCCCAGTCTGTTGTGATTGGTCTACTCTGCTCTGATTGGTCAGATGGCCCAGTCTGTTGTGATTGGTCTACTCTGCTGTGATTGGCCAGATGGCTCAGTGTGTTGTGATTGGTCTACTCTGCTGTGATTGGCCAGATGCCCCAGTCTGTTGTGATTGGTCTACTCTGCTCTGATTGGTCAGATGGCCCAGTGTGTTGTGATTGGTCTACTCTGCTGTGATTTGCCAGATGGCTCAGTCTGTTGTGATTGGTCTACTCTGCTCTGATTGGTCAGATGGCCCAGTGTGTTGTGATTGGTCTACTCTGCTCTGATTGGTCAGATGGCCCAGTCTTTTGTGATTGGTCGACTGCTTACAGCGCGTGTCCGAAACCAAACGGCCATAATCATATCTGAATTTCAGCTCTTCCTCAGTCTCATCCTTTTCTTGATCACTGAAAGGTTCTTTTTAATGGAACCAAAAATGATGGCATTACTGAAAAAAACCTTTGGGTTTTTAAGAGTGTGGGCATTATCAATAAATTAGATTAAATTCAACTTTATTTTTCATTGTGTAGAATTCAAGTAGAGAGACAATGAAATGCAGTGGATGAACTAATCCTTGTGATCACTTTAATACAGTAATATTGACTCGCTTTGGTCCGAACCTGAATTCGGTTCTTCCCTCCTCCCTCAGTCTGGTTTAATGACACATTTGGAAACTCTATCGCCCCCTTGAGTCCCGAGGTCTGGTTCTCAAGCGCTTCTGAACTCTTCTAGGATTTCAACACTCGAACTTTGAAGTTCCTCTTCCTTCATGATTTACAGCAGGATCTTTATGAGCTGCTGCCTCAAGAGATCCGTTTCATGTGCTTTAAAAACATGTTTCTGAGCATCAGACCAAAGAGAGTTTGATTTAGATCACAGCTCATTTCAATTACAGGCGGAAGGTGTTGTTAGCGAAAGTAGAAGTGAGGAAGACGCTCTACGCCAGGATCATTTCACGTGTAATTTTCAGTGCCACTCCAAAAAATCACTGAGGTATAATCATGCAAAAATACACTTATTTCTGTAATAGTTCTGGTGCATATTTTAGCTGGAATTCTTAATTTTCCATGTGCTTTCAGAAACAAGAACGATTCTGATGGAAAAATGATTTTCAAACTCATTTTTTTTGTCTTGTTGAACAAATATCTAATCATTCTTAAATCAAGATACATTTACTGGAGAAGCATATTAAGTCTTGTTTTCTGGGAAAAAAAAAAATGTATCAAAGTTTTTGCTACAAAAAAAGGGGGTCAGAAAAATAACTTTAAAATAATTAAGTTTTTTGGACCACATTGGTAGATATTGTTTCTTGTTTTCAGCATAAACTTAATTTTTGATAAATTTTGAAGAAAACAAGAGTTAATATCTTTAGCCATTTTGCTTCTTTCTATCTTTATTTGAAGAATATTTAGATATTTCTACTGGAAAATAAGACAAAACACTGAGGTAGAACATCATTTTTGCAGCGTACCTTACATATTTGTTTCTGAAATACTGTTTTCATCTTCCACAAAGAGTGCAGTTATTCTCAGCTCCGTTTTCATTGTTTAACTTCATTCATTCAACAGAATTCATCCAAAATCAGCTTCATTTATATGTTTAAAAATGGTTTGTTTCATTGTTTTAAAACTTGTTGTAATTGCTTTAGATGATATATCTATGATTATATTAATGCTAGGCAAAAATTCATAGGTAAAAAAAAAAAGTAATTGTAGTGGTGTGTTTGTTGTTTTGAATTAGGTGACTGTTGTTTTTGTTTTGTTTTGTGTTATGTTATTTAACTTTTGTGTATTAGGACCCTCTTGAAAACGAGATGATGAATCTCAAGGGGCTTATCCTAAAGAATAAGATTTCTTACAAAATGTCCTCAGATTTGGACGAGGTTTGTATTTGAGGTGCTGCACACTGAGACAAACCTGCGTTCAACAAACTTGCGGCTTTTCAAAGTGCCGAGCGCTGTCTCTTTAAACACTGGGGATCTTTTGAAGTGCCATTTGACGCCGCTGCAGTCTGGGTGGCCTCGGGATACACCGCCCGCTCTTAAACCAACACTTCACCTCGTTATTCAGTCTCAGGTCGTTCCAAACATGCATGATGATCTCTTTCTGAATGTCTGAAGTCATGCAGCTTTCTTTTTTGTCTAATAAAGCACCATTATAGTATTATATCAGTAGTTCATATGCGTCAAGCACTAAATCTCAAGTCTTCTGATTTACAGGTGAAACTCGAAAATTTAGAATATCGTGCAAAAGTTCATTTATTTCAGCAATTCAACTTAAAAGGTGAAACTAATATATTATATAGACTCATTACATGCAAAGTGAGATATTTCAAGCCTTTATTTGTTATATTTTTCATGATTATGGCTTACAGCTTATGAAAACCTTTTAAATTTGGGGTTTTCGTAAGCTGTAAGACACATTCTTTAAAATTATAACAAATAAAGGCTTGAAATATCTCACTTTGCATGTAATGAGTCTATATAATATATTAGTTTCACCTGTTGAATTACTGAAATAAATGAACTTTTGCACGATATTCAAATTTTTCGAGTTTCACCTGTATATACGTGCACTGAGACTCATATGAACTACTGTAATACTGTATCCTCCTAACCAGACACGACGCGATAAAATGTCAAAGAAAATCAGTCAAAAGTTTGGTGTCAGTTTTTTTTATGTTTTTGTAAGAGTTGTTTTCTTATGCTCAACCACGGCTGCATTTATTGGATCATAAATACAGTAAAAATAGTAAAATTGTGAAATATTATTAGAATGTAAATCATCTGTTTTCTATGTGAATATACAGCAGTGTAATTTATTCCTGTGATCAAAGCTGAATTTTTAGCATCATTACTCCAGTCTTCAGTGTCACATGATCCTTCAGAAATCACTCTAATATGAGGATCTGATGATCAAGAAACATTTATGATTATTATCAATGTTGAAAAACAGCTGTGCTGCTTTATATGCTTCACATATTTTATGTCAATATTTCAAACATATTCACATAGAAAACAGTTATTTTAAATTGTAACAATATTTCAAAAACATTATCGTATTTTTGATCAAATATAAACATAAGAACATAAAAAACTTTTGAACGCTATGAACATTTTCGATGTTATTCAAAGTTTTTGTCATAATCAGCTGCTATACGTGACTGTGATTCTATTTGAAACTGTTTCTATTTCTGGACAAAATATGACAATGATAATCTCAGGTACTGATTATGTGTGTTGAAAGAATTGAATCCGAGTTTGAATACAATGAAAGCGACAACGGATAATTCACCTCAGATCTTGAAAATAAAGGAAATCTATGATAAAGATTTCTTTCAGTCACTCAGTATATGTTTTTAATAATGTTAAAATGGTGTAATATTATTCTATTAATGATTTTGATTATGTACTTATCTATTTGGTTATGAGTGCAGTGTGTTTGCAGAGACTCCGCCCACAGGCTTTTCTGATTGGCTGTGATATTTGATTGATGTTGTCTCATGTTGTGTCAGTGTTATGATAGTTTTAAGGTGTTTCTGGTCTCTTTTGGAGACTTGAACTGTTGTTGAGCTGCACGAAGATTCTTCAACATTTACATTTATGCATTTGATGCTTTTATCCAAAGCGACTTTGAATGTGTACAATTTATCGGCCCATGAATTCCCTGGGAATGATCATGTCTGGGATGAAATGAAACCCTGTTGTGTGTGTGTGTGTGTGGATGTTTTTCGTCCTGTTTTTATGTGAGTGTGTGTTTCTCACCATGTAGGGCTCTTGTCCCGGTTGGCATTGTGGGCACGGTTGGCAACTGCTGATTGTGTGATTGTAAAACTCAGTTTCTCCACAGCTCGAGTACTCGGCTCTCACAAAAGACATGCTGGACACCTGCAAACAACACACACACATTTATTATTTCAGCAAACAATGCAACCTGGGGAACAACCCAAGAGTTTGGGGAAATTAAATTCAGACTGGTTTTAATATCTTAAACTAGTTACACTAAAATAAGCTGCGGATTGAATGATTGGTGTGATGAATTATGAATAGAAATCCTAAAGTTTGAACATTTTAAGTTTGAAGTAGTTTTTAGGGCCCTATCATACACAAGTGGTTTTTTGTGTGCTTATTTTCACGTCCTGCGCCACGTTGTTGAATTAGCAAATGCATTTGCGCCCATCTGTGGCCCATGGGCTGCTGGTCTGAGAACGAGTGTGTGTTCGGGCGCGTTGTTGGAGCGTTACTATTTTGAGGAACTGAAATGGACAGAGCCGTTGACCAACTGGACCTGCTCTAAAGTCAATGGCGCATTATTATTTTGTTATTTAAAGAGTGTGTTAGTATGCGCTTATAGGCGGGTCCACAACGCGAGGACACTCTGCTTATTACACACACACACACACACACACACACACACACACACACACTCTGCTTATTATACACACACACACACACACACTCTGCTTATTACACACACACTCTGGTTATTACACACACACACACACACACACACTCTGCTTATTATACACACACACACACACACACACACACACACACACACACACACACACACACACACACACACACACACACACACACACACTCACTCTGCTCATTACACACACACACACACACACACACACACACACTCTGCTTATTACACACACACACACACACACACACACACACACACACTCACTCTGCTTATTATACACACACACACACACACACACACACACACACTCTGCTTATTACACACACACACACACACACACACACACACACTCACTCTGCTTATTACACACACACACACTATGTTTATTACACACACTCTGCTTTTTACACACACACTCTGCTTATTACACACACACTCTGCTTATTACACTTACACACACACACACACACTCTGCTTATTACACTTACACACACACACACACACACACACACACACACACACACACACACACACACACACACTCTGCTTTTTACACACACACTCTGCTTATTACACTTACACACACACACCCTCTGCTTATTACACACACACTGCTTATTACACTTACACACACACACACACACACACTCTGCTTTTTACACACACACTCTGCTTATTACACACACACTCTGCTTATTACACTTACACACACACACACACAGACACACACACACACACACACACACACACACACTCTGCTTATTACACACACACACACTCTGCTTATTACACACACACACACACAATGCTTATTACACACACACACACACAATGCTTATTACACACACAGGGACGCCCAGCAGCCCACAATCTAGCCAAATATAAAAAAATAAAAGGATTACAAAAGATTACTATTGTGTACATAAAGATATGGTGGTATCCGGCTTGTCCCGTAGATGAGACTCTGATTGGTTTACTGCACATTACGCCCAAAACACACCCATTACTCATTAAGAGAATCAAAACACACCCATTACTCATTAAGAGAATAGAGACGACCCTTTTAGATCATGCGCCGGGAGCACCGACCATTTTTCCCGTCATTAAACTAGCAAAAGTGGATTCGGACTCGCCATAAGTGCACTTGAGCCCTGCGCGTTGTCGCCTCGCGTCGGGGGATAAAGCTGCACTTGAACACACCGAGAGAACTACAGCCGACTGTCAGCTCGCATGCGCGCTCTTCGCCGGTGTGTAAATGAGACAACTGTCTATTTCTGCAGATATATTCGTCATTCAAAAAGGGAATCCGACGCTGCAGATACACACCGTAAACAAAGCAGTGCGCGCTTACCGTTCTGAATATCAATCCTGCTAAACACTTTCTTTATTCCACTCCGCTCGTGTTAATATTGATATATTCGCCAAGGAACACTCGGTAAGATGACGTAACATAAGCCTTCTATCTGTGCCGTGTTGACTTCTCTGCTCGCTGTTTTGCTATTATTCTCATGCATTGACTCGTTCACTAAGCTGAACAGCCAATCAGAGTTCCCTCGTTCACCGACGGCCCGACGCCGATTCAACACGTCAGAACGGCCGAAAAAAGCCATGATCGTTAAACTAGATTGTTAAAATAGGGCTATTTAAGTTTGAAGTAGCCTAGTTTTTTGCAGTCTCTCTGGTTATTAGTGTATTCTGTAGTGCTCATTATTAGTTAATAACTAGCCTTAACTAATGGGACCAACATTGAGTTTGTGATCTGGTTACATCAGTGACAAGTGTATCGCGCTTCCTAACCAAAATAATAGAGTCTGAAGCTCACAGACTGTCCGCCGTCCTCCTCCGGTTTCATTTCCCCTAACATAAATTACGTTCACTGGATGAAGTAACCCAATGTGAATCGAGGTGAAACAACAAGTTTGTTGTGTGTGGATTTTGGCTTTGTCACCCTCACAGGCATTTCAACACTCTCGCTCCCTCGTTTGCTTTTGCTTCAAGCTGTGAATTAGCACACGGGAAGCGTTTGGCCGCTGTAACTCAACACAGATCGACGGACAGATGAATCAAGCGCTGCGACTGAAGCAGGAATGTAATTAAACGTGTGGGCGGAGCTGGATGCTGATTGGCTCTGGCTGAATGAGATGCTTTGTGGTTTAGCTCCAGTTCACAGGATGAGTTTAATGCAGATCTGAAACGGCCATCTGCTCACAATCTCAGCGAAACCATCAGAAATGCATGCGAATCAATAGTGGTGCACTCCTACGTTGCGTAATAGCATGTTTAATCATGTTTGCTGCATGTTTTTAACACACTTCTAGCTCAAGTCATGTTTATTTGTAGGGGAGAGTTTGTGTAAACCTACTTAGGGTTCAGAGTATTTCTATGTTCCCGCATTAATTTCACACGTCTAGTACAATTATGTGGTTTTGTTTCATTAATACGCTGTATACTTTTTTTCTTGATTTACCCTGAAAGAATGGAAGTGAAATGTGACAACATTCCCAGATATGACAGATTAAAATGCTATCTGATCTAATCAAATAAAATATACAAGACAAACTGAAATATTTTGTCAATAAAATACAATTATTAACTTTTTCCATGTAAAATAATGGCATATTTTAATAATTAAAAATAAACACTTTTTTTTTTTTTTGACAACAAACACAGCTATACAGCATAGTTCAAAACATAATAATTATTATTAATTTCTGAACATGGACTCTCAGTCTTTATTCGCCTTTTTCTCATGGTTTCTCAATAGAATTAATAAAAGTATAGAATATCATAGTTCTAATAGGGGCTCATTGTAACGCAGTGTGACAACATGCCCCGCCTAACCCGGCGAGTGTTTCTGCTGGTTAGCGAAGCATTAAAGAACGATCTCAACTGTTAAATAACAGATTTAAGATTAAAATAATATCGGATTTGTCTAATAAAAAAATAAAAAAAGAAATTAACTTTTGCTACGGTTAAATAAATTTTCAGTGATATCTTCCAAAGATTTTTAAATTTAGGCACGAATATTTCTCTATATAGTGTTGATAACTAGTAAATACACAAAGTTTCGTCATGCTGGCATGTGTGGAAAGCTTTAAACCATGTGTGTTACAACTAGCCCCGCATCTCTTCTCACAAGAGCGATTTTCTCTCATAGATATTTGTACAAAAACACCTCATTTTGTGCATTGTGCTAAAGATGTGTCTGGTTGTGTACATAGAGTTGACTTGAATTTGTTCTAGATCATTAGACATGACATCATGGTGCTTTAGAAGTCTCTCTATAGTCACTGAATGAAAATCACTTGCCTTTGGTTGCACGGTATAAAGCTCTATAGATATAACGCTCTAGATGTTGTGAAATGGCAGCAGTTTCCCCTTCAACAAAGGCTCAATTGACACTAAGGGCCGATTTAGACATAATAAGCGGGATTATACAGATCTCCTCTCACTTGCAGCTAACCTGTCGTTTGAATATCTCACAGCTCTTTGGAAGGGCATTAAAAGCCTATCATTAAGACGCTGCGCAGGGAAATTAAGTTCTGGGAAGGCAGCCAGATGGATTCGGTGTTGCAAACATGAAGGAGGAGGGCGAGCGCAAGGAGACAGATTAACATGACGCTCAAAGACACCTTTGTAGTCGCTTTTGGACGTCGTCTGGCTTAATGGGACGGGTTGTTGTCTCGGCTCGATTTAGTGGGGCTGATGGGACTTACCAGCAGAAGAGGCAGGAGGCATGATGGTGTCCGTCCTCCTTTCCCACCCATGTTTCTGTCTTCCACCATGAGAGAAAGTCTGCCAAGAGAGAAAGACATGAAAACTGATGAAGTGTGGGAATTGAACACTTTAGTGCAGGGAAATTGAACACTTTCTTAGTGTTTCAGTACAAATATATATATAGATTCGGAAATCAAGATACATTTATTGGAGAAGCAAAATGACTGAAGATATTAAGTTTTAGTTTCTATAAAAATTAAGGTAGTTTTTGTTTAACAAGTGAAAGGTCAGAAAAATAAACTTGTTTTTCCTTTGAATTAAGTTTATTTTTCTGATCCCACTGGCAAATAATGTTATTGGTTAAAGGAAAAGCTACATTTTTAGGTAATCAAAATCATTTTGCTTCTCGAGTAAATGTATCTTGATTTAACCAAGTTTATTGCACTTCAAAAAATCAATGCACAAAAAAGTTATAGAAGTTTAAGTTAACTAAACATTTTTTATTTCATACAAAATATATATTTGACAGAATAATTTGGCCTCTACAATTGCTAGAAAAACAAAGCCACGTGACTAACCAAGTTGTGTTACAAATTTGCCGCTGTGTTTCAAAATTGAGCCGCTAAAAGGTTTTAAAGTATCGTTTTTCTTGGTAACGCAATGCCCAATTCAAGGTTATTATTGTTAACTAAAAATAAAAAAATAAAAATTTATGTTAAATTGAAATCAAGCTAAAATAAAATATAAATATTATTTGAAAAACTTAAACTAAGGGAAAATTAGAAATGTTGGCTTGGCAATAAAGTGATATAAGTTAAAGCACTAAAATGATTAACTGGAAATAAATAAAAACTATAACTGAACCTAAAATAAATGAAACCTAAATTGCATGCAAGCAAATGCTCAACCAAGCAAGTATACATGTGATCAAGGCTGTAACCAGGGTTTGAAAACTAGTGAGGTCCGGGGTGAGGTGTAAAGAATTGTGCTATAATAATGGTTAGGCCATTGGACCCACATTCCCCCATGGACATTAAGCTGCGACCCTTTTTTTTTTTTAAGGAATTTGCCATATATATATATATACAGGGGTTAAATTTGGATTTAATTATATGTGGGATAGTCTCTCACTGGGTGGGGGGGGGGGGGGGGGGGGGGTCCGGGGCTATGCCTCCCCGGGATTTAAAAAAAAATAATAAACCATTAAATGGCACTTTCTGGAGAGTTTTTTGCAAAGAAATATAGAAAAAAGTAGGTCTAGCAAGTCTTATACACTCACCGGCCACTTTATTAGGTACCCCATGCTAGTAACGGGTTGGACCCCCTTTTGCCTTCAGAACTGCCTCAATTCTTCGTGGCATAGATTCAACAAGGTGCTGGAAGCATTCCTCAGGGAGTTTGGTCCATATTGACATGATGGCATCACACAGTTGCCGCAGATTTGTCGGCTGCACATCCATGATGCGAATCTCCCGTTCCACCACATCCCAAAGATGCTCTATTGGGTTGAGATCTGGTGACTGTGGAGGCCATTTTAGTACAGTGAACTCATTGTCATGTTCAAGAAACCAATTTGAAATGATTAGAGCTTTGTGACATGGTGGAAGTAGCCATCAGAGGATGGGTACATGGTGGCCATAAAGGGATGGACATGGTCAGAAACAATGCTCAGGTAGGCCGTGGCATTTAAACGATGCCCAATTGGCACTAAGGGGCCTAAAGTGTGCCAGGAAAACATCCCCCACACCATTACACCACCACCACCAGCCTGCACAGTGGTAACAAGGCATGATGGTTCCATGTTCTCATTCTGTTTACGCCAAATTCTGACTCTAACATCTGAATGTCTCAACAGAAATCGAGACTCATCAGACCAGGCAACATTTTTCCAGTCTTCAACTGTTCAATTTTGGTGAGCTCTTGCAAATTGTAGCCTCTTTTTCCTATTTGTAGTGGAGATGAGTGGTACCCGGTGGAGTCTTCTGCTGTTTTAGCCCATCCGCCTCAAGGTTGTGCGTGTTGTGGCTTCACAAATGCTTTGCTGCATACCTCGGTTGTAACGAGTGGTTATTTCAGTCACTGTTGCCCTTCTATCAGCTCGAACCAGTCTGGCCATTCTCCTCTGACCTCTGGCATCAACAAGGCATTTCCGCCCACAGAACTGCCGCTCACTGGATGTTTTTTCTTTTTCGGACCATTCTCTGTAAACCCTAGAGATGGTTGTGCGTGAAAATCCCAGTAGATTAGCAGTTTCTGAAATACTCAGACCAGCCCTTCTGGCACCAACAATCATGCCACGTTCAAAGTCACTCAAATCAACTTTCTTCCCCATACTGATGCTCGGTTTGAACTGCAGGAGATTGTCTTGACCATGTCTACATGCCTAAATGCACTGAGTTGCCGCCATGTGATTGGCTGCTTAGAAATTAAGTGTTAACGAGCAGTTGGACAGGTGTACCTAATAAAGTGGCCGGTGAGTGTATTTCTGTTATTCACAAAGATCAAACCCAAATATGCTGACTGAATAGATTGCTAGTTGAGAAACACTGCTTTAATTACCGTAATGTTTTTATGATGACTTTGTGAAAGGTTAACTAAACGGCATGTAAGTTATTTGGCAAATTTCATTCTGTAACATACAGATCTGTATTATGCTATTGTTTTTAATAGTGTTATACATTTCTTACAGATAATCACGATGATCATTGCGTTTGTGCCACCGAATGTGGTAGCTTTATGCAATTACAGTTTGTCTATAAGCTTTTTATTTATTTATTAATGCCGACAGTAAAATGTTGCCAGATATTGCTACGAAAAACAAGCAAAACAAAACAAAACAAAAAAATAATAATCCGAAATAAGTTCAAAGCTTAGGAAATCTCAAATCTCAAAGTTTGGGAAATAAGATTAATATATCACTAACCCTGACATGCAACTTTCCACTTTAATAACTTCCTTAAGTGTCACATTAAATCAGAAAAACAGGTCCAGGAGACGGCTGCCACCTTTCTATTAGGTGGATCTGGCAACACGGCAGGTGCACCCGCGCCCTCACTCACGCGCGCTCTCAAGCCCCGTTCACTGCGCTAGCTTCTCGCAGCAACATGAATTGCAAACACTCATATGAGGTGGTTTAAACACGGCTAATTAATCATTCAGAGAGCTTGACATTTCATTTTTTAATGTAAAAAAATGACCGAGGCCCGGACCTCGGAGACCTCATAGCTGGCTACGGCCATGCATGTGATGCTTTTCGCATGCATGTTTTGGTTTGTAACTTAGCGAAATACAGGTACATCATAGTAGCATATCTTGATTTAGAGCAGGTGGTCTGGAACGAGCCCGAACACAACATAAGACAGCGCGTCATCACGGAGTGTCATTGACATGCTGCTTCGCTAAAGCAATTGGACTTCAGGAATCTGATGCGTTGCGATCATGACACACAGCGTCCAACATGTGGAAGTTCAACCAATGGAAACTGGATCTACTCTCACCTAAAGGATTATTAGGAACACCTGTTCAATTTCTCATTAATGCAATTATCTAATCAACCAATCACATGGCAGTTGCTTCAATGCATGTAGGGGTGTGGTCCTGGTCAAGACAATCTCCTGAACTCCAAACTGAATGTCAGAATGGGAAAAAAAGGTGATTTAAGCAATTTTGAGCGTGGCATGGTTGTTGGTGCCAGACGGGCCGGTCTGAGTATTTCACAATCTGCTCAGTTACTGGGATTTTCACGCACAACCATTTCTAGGGTTTACAAAGAATGGTGTGTAAAGGGAAAAACATCCAGTATGCGGCAGTCCTGTGGGCGAAAATGCCTTGTTGATGCTAGAGGTCAGAGGAGAATGGGCCGACTGATTCAAGCTGATAGAAGAGCAACTTTGACTGAAATAACCACTCGTTACAACCGAGGTGTGCAGCAAAGCATTTGTTAAGCCACAACACGCACAACCTTGAGGCGGATGGGCTACAACAGCAGAAGACCCCACCGGGTACCACTCATCTCCACTACAAATAGGAAAAAGAGGCTACAATTTGCAAGAGCTCACCAAAATTGGACAGTTGAAGACTGGAAAAATGTTGCCTGGTCTGATGAGTCTCGATTTCTGTTGAGACATTCAGATGGTAGAGTCAGAATTTGGCGTAAACAGAATGAGAACATGGATCCATCATGCCTTGTTACCACTGTGCAGGCTGGTGGTGGTGGTGTAATGGTGTGGGGGATGTAAACCTTTCTTTCCCACTTAGTGCCAATTGGGCATCGTTTAAATGCCACGGCCGACCTGAGCATTGTTTCTGACCATGTCCATCCCTTTATGGCCACCATGTACCCATCCTCTGATGGCTACTTCCAGCAGGATAATGCACCATGTCACAAAGCTCGAATCATTTCAAATTGGTTTCTTGAACATGACAATGAGTTCACTGTACTAAAATGGCCCCCACAGTCACCAGATCTCAACCCAATAGAGCATCTTTGGGATGTGGTGGAACGGGAGCTTCGTGCCCTGGATGTGCACCCCACAAATCTCCATCAACTGCAAGATGCTATCCTATCAATATGGGCCAAAATTTCTAAAGAATGCTTTCAGCACCTTGTTGAATCAATGCCACGTAGAATTAAGGCAGTTCTGAAGGCGAAAGGGGGTCAAACACAGTATTAGTATGGTGTTCCTAATAATCCTTTAGGTGAGTGTATATAGTGGGTAGAGACAAAGTTTTATCGATTAAATTATTATCGACAATTAATCGATCATCGATTAATTGTTGACATCCCTACTTCTAACCACGGGTCGAGAGCTGCAGTTCCACGTAAGTTTGCAATGATGTTTGCTGGAACAATAGTTTCAGGAAACGCCAAATCGTTGTTAACGACAGAAATTGCAACCATAGCTGTAACGATTCTTTCAGGAAACACACTCCTAAATGATTGCATGCATGACCCTTGACCTCACACAAAATTGACTGTCTGTAACGAGCAAAAATGACACAAATATGCTCACACTCACACATGATATCACCACAAAAAACATAGTAGCAGCAAGCACTGCATTGTGTTTTAGGGTTAA